TGCTAAAAAGCTATAGCAAGAACAGAACTTACAAAGTATTCCCCCCCTCCAAAACCTGGGAGACTCCACTCTCCCTGTGACTCCGGGGAGAATGGGCTGCACCTTAAAGCAGTTGCTACAAAGCATTTGCCCAGCAAAGTTGGAATTTGGCATAAGTGATTGATGAGTCATCTCAGCCTCTTGGCTGCCCTTTGCCCCACTGCTATGGTGGGTCCAGCAGGTCTCTAGAGCCTTCCTTCCTCACCAGGCTTGGCTGTTCATAAAATCTGGAATGGATCCCACGTGTTAGACCTCTTGCATGTTCACTCTTCTGATCTTTGCAAGCTCATAAGGTCACAGTCTCCAATAAAGGACTAGAATGAAGCACCACCACCAAATAACCACCAATAACAAGAATTGTATCTACCTGCTGCCCCCACCCTCTTCTCCAGGGAGAAGAAAGAGAAAAACTTTGGAAGCTATAAACACATAGGGGAAGCTAGCTTTTTAGCCTGTCCCTGGATTCCAGCTTGTCATCCCAGGAAGTTGGGGGAATTTCTCTTTGGACGACATTGGGGCCTCTCTCTTGGTTTGAGTTGAGATCTGTTGCTCCCAGCAAAGAGCTCATATACCTTTGTATGTGTCTTGGAATATCCTGATCTGTAGATTTTCTCCAATTTCTGTTTGCTGCTTTCTTTGGATAAATGAGTTTACTTGTTACTCACTTCTGCAATGGTCTTCGTATAACCAGCATTGTAACCAGTGGGAAGAATCCAAGCTAATGGGTCTAAGTTTGGGGCAAGCCTTCCCTTTTAAGCTATAGATTACTCACCAGGGAAGCAGCTTTTGTTCTGGTGCAAAGTTGTATCCCTAGACAAATAGTATTTGGGGCAGGGGCAGGGGCAGGGGGCAAAGGTAGATACAATTCTGGTCATTTATTGGAGACTGGAGAAAAGAACACCCAGCCTTGAGGTACTCCTGGGGTCTACCTGCCTGTGGTACAAGTTCAACCCCAGGCTGTCCCACGCAGAGGTAGGCCAGATTCCAGAGATTTACACCACCTGAAAGCTGCATTTAAGACAATCCAAGTACACAGTAACAGTCACATTGTGCAACGACTAACATTGATAGACTTAGCCCTTCTCAGCAATGCAAGGATCTAAGACATCTCCAAAGGTCTCATGACGGAAAATGCTATCCACATTCAAAGAAAGAACTATGGAATTTGAATGCAGATTGAAGCAGACTATTTGCTATTTTTTTCTTCTGTTTTGTTTTCTCTTTCTTGTGGTTCCTCCTATTGGTTCTAATTCTTCCTTACAATGCCACTAATATGAAAATATGTCTAATAGGAATGTATATGTATAGCCTATATCAGATTGTATGCCATCTTGGTGAGAGAGGCAGGGAGGGAGGGGGAGAAAAATTTAAAACTCAAAAGCTTACGGAAGTGATTGTTGATAGATTAAAATAAATTAATTTAAAAAAGAAAAAAAAGACAATCCCAGTAAACATGCGTGTTTTATATAGGTGCACTCATTTTACACTGAAAACAAAAACAAATCCACCTTTTTTAAAGAAGGAAAATATTGCAATATAAGAATTGAAATATAAGAAACAAAGATTGGTTCTGGAGAAACTTCAGTCCTGAGGCCCTGCTGGCTTGATTGGTGGCTGCTTGCCTGACTGGGACTATTTCAAGGAAAGTCCCAACTGTTTCTTCACTATCTCCTCTGGGGCATCTCCTTCTACTCTTACCATAGATTTATTGTGTTTTCCTCCTTCATCTCCTCTGCCATATTTTTGGAACCATGAATCATGATCTAATCAGCTCTGCTATTGTTCCTGGATGGGGTTTGTCAACCTATTCTCCCATAGCCCCATTCATGATCCCTGCAATAAAAGTGCTAGTCCCCAGCAACCACTCTTCTTTCTGTGTGGTTTCCTCTGCTAAAATGTAACCTCCTTGAAGGCAGGCAGGGACTGTTATTGCTTTTCATTCGAATCCCCAGAATTTAGTTTGGTCCTTGGCATATATTAAGCTCTTAACCAATTCATTTTAATGAATTCAAAGAAATCCTAGAAAACTCACACGATGGATACAGAGTGAAAAAAGCACAACAGAAACAATATACTATGATTATAACTATGTAAATAAGAACAGCATTCCAAAACATGTAGCTTTGTCTGGATACATGAGATGACTTTGTTACTACCTTGTTATATTAATGTATCCATCTTTTGTTGATTTCATTAACTGGTTTAAAAAAAGAATCCAACAATACCACAACTGCACCATAAGGTATGCAATCATTTACAATTTCCATTTTTTTCTTTTGTTCTTATAATATACTTGAATATTTGTACTTATCAACATTACACTGTCTATATATCTCATACAAAGTAGGGATTCTGGAAAACAAAGGCTTTGCTATTTTTTCTATCCCATTCATCTATAATTCTGGTTAAAGATCTCACCTAGCCTTCCATTCTCCATCATTTTGCTTGCCTGTTTAGTTATAGTTTTTCTGAGGGGCATTTTTTTTGCTGAGTCTCAATTCCCAGATACATTTTTTCTTTTTTTTTTCCAGGCAATTGGGGTTAAGTGACTTGCCCAAGGTCACACAACTAGTAAGTGTCGAGTGTTTGGTCTGCGCCACCTAGCTGCCCCCTTCCCAGATACATTAATGAAGAAAGCAATATAGTATAGTGAAGGGCATTCTATACCCCTGGGTCATAGATCTCATGGGATCATAGTGTACCGGGGGTCTGACACATTTGTAGACCTTATCAGCTCACTAAAATGGCTTCTTTACATAGCGGACTCTAGGAAGCTGCTTCTGGGAGAATTGTTATGATATGTAGAGATAAACTGGAGAGACAGACTGTGTAGCATGCATAGATATTCTGGGACTGGTTTGAGTCAGTCAACCACATGCTGAAGAGAAGGCTCTTTGATTTGAAGGAGAGGCATTCAAAAAGTCCTCTCAGGTTCAGTTATATTTGGGGGAAGCTCAGCAACTGGTGAAGGGAATGAAGCCCATGACCTTACGAGTCTGAAAAGTCCAGAAGGCTCCCGGTTTGCAGCCAACACAACATTGATTCCTTAAAGAGCAAGGAGCAACCTTTGGAAGTGACCTTTGGGAACTCAACCCAGTGATAATTGAGACTTGGGTTAATCTAGCTCATGTTGCAACTGGACAAAAACGTGGTTGGATTACTGCTTTGTGGAAGCTGAACTAAGCCCAGGGTAGGTTGAAATGTCTTCTGATAAAAAAGGCTCGGGGATACTTTGTGAGACTTTTCCCTCCTCTGGTCCATTGCCAGGGAAGCCTCCCCTTCTTTTTACCCCAGGAAATAGTTACCAATTCCTCTTACAAGCATACAGATTCACAAGGCTCAAAGCATGAGCAATTTCTTTATAGGTTAGGGGAAACAGAATTCATATCAGAATATACAATAAATAATTTGCCTACCAACATGCAACCCTCCACTCACAGCAAGTATGATGCTAGTACCTCACAGTAGAGCACCTAGTAGGGTTTTAGTTCAGGATACTTAGGGGTTGTTCCCCCTTATCAGTGTTCCTCTTCAAAATCCTCTGTCTGGACATTGTTGCTTTTGTTCCATTGGCCTCAATTAACTTCTTTGGTTACTTCTTTCCAGGAGGATGCTGGAGTCAGTTCCAATGGCTCAGGAGGACCAGTTGTTAAATTTTCAGTGTAAGCATTTACTCTTCAGAAATTGGCATGTGCTGCAAATCAGAGCCTGATTTTTTCGTGTTGTGTTTTTTTATTGTTTACACTTCAGAGAATGATGGATAAAATGTTAACAATGCAAATTAAACTGAAAAGCCTGTCTGGCGCTCGCCACTGGTTTTCCCATCATGGATTCCCTTTCCTGATCTGTTGCTGGAGCCACGCTCCCGGCAGTTCTCTCTAACATCCAGCAGATTGGCAGTCATTTGTTGTTCCTTGTTGCAGATTCCTTTTTCTATTCAGTGAGCAATACTTCCTGAAGTTCTGCTCTTGTTCCACCAGATGGCAGTCACTTACTTCTTAATTCCATTCAATTCAACAAGCATTTATTAAGCCCCTGCTGTATGCTAGATGTTATACTAGGTGCTGAAGATTCAAAAACAAAAACTAAAGTCCCTGTCCTCCTAGATATTTCACTCTACTGGATTGTGCCCTTTTTTTTTTTCTGGGGGGAATACCTCTCCTCAGCCCCAAAGAAGGAAATCTCTCCAGAAATCCTGTCCGCCAAGTACATTTGTGGCTTTCCCCCTCTAAAGCCTTCTCTTGTACCACAGGCCCTGGGGACCCTTATGTGACACACCTAAAATCCCCCAGGGGTTTCCCTTTCAGTATTTGATATTATTGACTAGATTCTCTCCTCTCAGGGTTTTCATGATAACCCAATTGACTGATCTTCCTCAGCCTCCTTTCCTGGATCAGGGTTCACATTCAACCCCACATGGAGGCTAGCTCCCCAAGGCTTTCTCCTGGTCTTTATTCTATTCTCTTCTACACTTTTTATCTTGGTGACCTTGTCAAATCTCATGGGATTGAACATAATCTCCATGCAGATGAGCCCCAGTTTTACAGATCCAGCACCAGTCTTTCTCCCCAGCTCTGCCTAGCCCACCTTGAGGTGAGATTGCTTCTCTGCAACTTCACCAGTTAGCTGTTCCTAGTTCTGCTCCCCCAATCCAAGGAAAACACACCTAAGCTCTCTTCCATATGACTGTCCTTCAAACACATGCTCATAGTTATCATATGCTTCTCCTAAGCTTTTTTAAAGTGACTTGCCCAGGGTCACACAGCTAGTAAGTATTAGGTGTCTGAGGCCGTATTTGAACTCAGGTCCTCCTGACTCCAGGGCCACTGCTCTATCCACTGCATTACCTAGCTGCCCCTTAAGCATTATTTTCTTTAGGTTAAACATCTCCAGTTCTTTCAACTCATCCTTATATGTTCATTCATTCATTTATTCAAGAAACATTTATTAAGCACCTGCTATGGGCCAGGGATACAGAGTGAAAAATGAAACAGGCCCTGCTTTCAAAGAGCTTACATTCCATTGGGAAGAACTATGTAAGGTAAGTAAACAAAGTGTATACAAGGCAAACTTGGTGCAAGGGGGATGGAGACAAGTGATGGGAAACCTCAGGATAGACTCCACGCAGGTTATGACATTATCTTAAGGCCCTTCATCAACCTGATTGCAGTGCTTTGGATTCTTTCCAACTTATTAATGTCTATTCTAAAACATAGTACCCTGACCTAAGCACCATATTCCTTATGTGATCTGACCCAGGTTCTCTATTGTTCTGGATGCCAGCTCCCCACTCTAGCCTAAGTGAAGCTCTATCAGTAACTAATTCTGGGACCCTGGGCAAACCATTTGAACTCTCTGAGTCTTTTTCTTCATATGTAAAATGAAGCAATTGAATTTCAGGAATAATCCCTAAATTTCTAAATCAAGCTATGGAAGTAGCGTAGGTGAAATGGTGTGAAATTAATATAATTTCATAAATATATTAAGAAAGTGAGACTCAAGAGACCTAATTTAATTTCTAGCTCCATCAAGGATTTGCCGTGTGACCTTTGATAAGTTGCTTCATCTTCCTCTGCCTCAGTTTCTTCATTTGTAAAACAAAGAGCATAATATCTCCCTATCTACTTGAGCAAAAGGATTGAATAAATCCAAAATTCTGAAAACATTGGCTGTCTGCCTAATTTATAATATCTTTCACAGGTCTTCCCTCCTTTCATATAACAGATATAGGTGCTTAATAGCTTTGGATGCAAAGCAGAGCAAGAGATTTTGGGGCACCTCGGGCCCAGAACGGGCCAGAATGAGACCAAACACAATATTTCTCTCCAGGCCTGAAAACTGCTGAACGTTGTCTAAAATGATAGAGCTGCCCAAAATGCCAGATGCCCAGCTGAATCCCACCTCCATGGTCCTGTGGGTCCAGGTCGATTTCATCACTGTCCGAAGAAGAGTCTCATAGTGTTCTTGGCCCTCACTCCTACTGTACAAAATAGCAATATCTTTAGGAGAATAGCCATTTTGGAAGAGACTCTGACATCTTCTTGCCACGTGATTTGCCAGTTCCTCCTCCGTCAGGTCACTTTCTTTTTCACATACTCCAGGTAGAGTGTAAGCATGGATAACATCCTCATATAGATCTTCCCTAAATAATGCCAATGACTCAGGAGGCATGTGTCCAGGTGGGTTTTCTTTGATCTTTTTCATTTCTTGTTTCATGACCATTGCTATTTCTAGAGCATTATAGATCTCTCGAGTGAGGTTTTTTCTTGGATATTGCATTAGTGGAAGTGGAAGGCCACTGACTCCCACATGACTGGCTTGAAAAGGGTCTATAAAGAGCCACAGAATCCCTTGGTGAGGATTCTTCCTTCCAGCCTCCTCAGCTTTGGGATGGGTGATATTCTTAGCTTTTGTGTACCAATCTCCATCTTCACTGTAGAAATTCTGAGCTTCATCTATTACTATGTGTTTAATCTTTGGGAACTCTCTTCTCATGAAAGTTTTCCGGGTCTCAGCTTGGCAGGTACTTTGATGACTAGAAGAGTAAAACAGAGAGTATGGTTTCAACCACATGAACAAGGGAATATTATTCATTAGTCACTTGTTTGAGTCAAAAACTAAAAGTGAGGGTCTTTAGTTCCTACTTGGGGATTACTTCATATTGTAGTTCACACAAGGTTCTTGATAGGTTAAAGAACTAAGCCAGAGTTCCTATTTCACGACAGACCATGTGGAAAAATGTTAAGCCCTCCTCTCTTGGTCAATTCGGGGTAAAGTAATAAAATCTTAAACGTGACTTGTAATTTGAAAATCTAAGCAAGGTGATTTTATTATTTCCATTGTAATTAATTTTTGCTTTTGACAATACATATTGACAAGCCTCTTATGTCAGTTAAATTTAGGCTACAATTAGAATATAAGTTCTTTGAGGACAGCAACTCATTTTAATTTTTGAATCTTTAGCACCTAACACTGTGCCTGGCTCATAGTAGGTGCTTAATAAATAAATGTGCATTGATTGGTAGATTGTAGCCCATTTCTTCTTATCCTGTCCTCTTCATCCATGGGGAATAGCCATCAGTCAACTTTTTACATATACAAAATTTTATGTGCAGAAGAGATGTGCTCCAATCAAGCTTTCCTATACAGCAGTCTTCAGGGTTCCAGAGCTGTGATTTAATTGATATTGGGAACCCTTGGTAAGGAAACTCCCTCTACTGAAGTAGATCAGCAACTTATAGTCTTAGAGAGGTAGAGGACCAATGAACCTGCCAAGGGTCATGTAGCCAGTTTGTGTCATATAGCAAATTTTAATAAAGAAAAATAAATCTTCTTCATATTTTTGCTAAGGAAATAAAAAAGATTTTTATAAGGAAATCATTAAGATTGTAATCAGTACCATGCCATGGGATAGCAAAGTCTTTGGATGTCAGCAGTGGTATGGATGTCTGCAGAACTTCAATTAACCTTTGTAACACCTTTTTTTTTTTTTAACACTTGTAACACTTCTTGACTCGTGTCCCTAGTGCCGCCTCTCTCTCGGACCCCGGGAATTTCTCTCTTTTATATAGATTCCTTGATTTACATTTGTATCTCCTGGAACTTTTGCTTTCCTTTTACTTTGGTGTGGATCCAGTCAAGTCAACGAGTATCTCTTATGTGCTTGCTATGTGCCAGACACTGTGCTAAGTGCTAGGGCTACAAAGAAAGGGAGAAAAATGAATAGCGCTCCCAATCTAATAAGGGAGATATCAATAGGACAACTATGTATAAACAAGGCATTTATACAATAACTTAGAGGTATCTCAGAGGAAAGGAGACCAGGAAAGGCTTCTTTGGGTGTTTAAGAAAAGGCTTGAATTGAATTAAGCTATGAACCAAAACCTACAAGGAAATTGTATTCATTCACTGGATCCTGGTCTAAATCACACCCAGAGAACATTTTTGGGCTATACTGCAAATCAAATCAATGTATTTTTTTACAGTACCATTGTATTACCTTCAAAACCTTACTCTGTCAAACATCTCTTATCTTTAATCTCCCTAATTGGTTATTTTTGCCTTGGCATACAAACATGCTCAGGTTTCCCCTATCCTAAAACACAACAAAACAAAACTCTTCCCTTGAATGGAATACTCTTTTAAGCTATATCCTATTTCTTTCTCTGATACCCTGTTCAAACCATATCTTATTTCTCCCCTTTACTGCCAAAATTCTAGAAAGAATATTCTATACTCACTAACCTTGATTTCTCACCATCTACTCAATCCACAATCCTTTGCCATTTAGATCATATTCACATTACTGAAACAACCCTCTTTGAGGTCACCAACAACCTACTAGTTGTCAATCGAGTGATCTTTTTCATTTTTCATACTCTGACTCCTCATAAGCGCTTTATGTGCTGACCAGAGGTTCTGTCCCTAGCTCTCTCCTTATCTCTCTTTAAAATCTCTCCTTTGGTGACCTTATCCACTCCCCTGACTTCAATGATCAGCTGTGCATGCAGGTTGCTCTCAAGTCTAGATCTCCAGCTTTGATCTCTTTCCTGAACTACTTTACTATATAGTATTTCCGACTGCATGCCAGACATGGTTATCTGGATGTCCTTCAATCATCCAAAACTTCACGTGTCCAAAATTGATTTGTCTGCCCCGATCAAAATTCGTCTATCTCATAACTTCCTTCTTTCTGTGAATGGCACCTAGGCTTGAAACTGAGGTATATTATCTCTCATGCTTCTCTAGCCCTCATCCCCCAAATCTGATTAGCTGACAAATCCTATTGATTCTACCTCTGCAGTTTGTTTCACATTTGTCTCCCCTTTTCCATTCCTACAACATCTATTTTATTTCTCACCTGTACTACAGTGATAAACCTAGTTTTCTCCCTTGCTCTAGTTTCCTCCATCTCTAGTTTACCCTTCACTTCACTGCCAAGCCAATCTGCAAAAGGCACATCAGAAACTACTACAAAACTTTTGGCAGCTCCCACTGCTCTTCAAAAACACCTTAATGGAGAGTCAGGAGGATCTGACTTCAAATTTGGCTTCAGACACTTGGCACTTACTAGCTGTGCGACCCTGGGCAAGTCACTTAACCCCAATTGCCTCACCAAAAAGCAAAACCCAAAACAAAATGAACAAAAAAACCCTTAATGGATATATAATGTCCACTGATTGGGAAGTGCATGTTCCTTTCATCAGCACACCTCCCAATTCATCCACACTCTCTCATTCTGTGCAATTCTTCTTATCCATACTTTCCATAATTATACCACAAAGGATTGACCCAATATGCTAGACACCTTTCCAAGTCTTTACCAAATAAAGAAACGAGGTTCTTGGAATGACATTCAAGGCTTTCTATAATCCCTCTTTAATCTTACTTTCTAGGTTTATCACCTGCAACTCCCCTTTTGTACTCTGCATTTTAGCAAGACTGAAACATATGCTTTTCCTGAACCTTGTCCTGCCCTCTCCCCTCTCTGTCTCCTTGTGTATACCATCTTCAGCAGTCTACCTCCACATCTCAGCCTACTGAAATTCTTCCTTTCTTTCCAGGTCTAGCTTAGATGCCACATCTTCCATGAAGCCTTCCCTTGTCTCAGCAGTTTTAAAAGTGATTTCTCCTTCCTCAAATGTTTTCATATTAGTCTATTTGGATTTCTCATAGGAGCTTCTCACATTGCAACTTGTATCAAAGTTATTTTCATGGTTGTCTTATTCTCCCTGAGGGGAAGTTCCTGTAGGTGAGCTCCATTCACTGTTTTCTTTTTCTTGTGTCTCTAGTGCCTAACATTATGTCTTACTCATAATTGGTACTAAATTTTTGTTGAATTGAAGTGAAGGTAGTCAGGCACTTTAATACTCCATGAAACATGTAATCTTATCAATGGAAATATTCTTCTCTTTTACTATAGATTATAACTCACCCATGCCTTCTCACCCTATGCAATTCTTCTCTATGTCCTTCCATAGATCCTTCATGGAGAAGCTAGCTAATGTCCTGTAGTCTTTCCTTTAAGTCTTTTTACATGTCATGGGTATCCCAAAAAGAGCACTCACACCATCCATCTACCTGTTATCCCTCACTCTTGCTCCATGATGAGTGGACCTCCTTTTCCAATCATACAACTGCTGGATGGTACCTTTATACCATTTATTGTTATCTTTGGAAAGCCTACACGTACCACATTGCACTTCAGATTATCCACAACTCTGATCCTTTGGAGATTGTGGTGTTCTAGGATTTACAACCCTATGACATCACTGTTTGAACACTGGTGTAAAAAAACAAAAAAGCTAAGGACCATATCAGGATTGCTAAAGCCCTGTACAATTTCCCATGTGGAATCTAGCCCTAGTTTTCCTCTTATTCAATGCTGGACCCAATTCATACATATATCCGGATGCTTTTCCTATATTAATATACTGTGTACTAACTCAATGAACTGGAAGTCCAACTACATGTCTAATCTGAACAATAGACATTTTTCATCCATTTGGTTTTTCCTCTATGGATAGGCCAATCTCTCTTAAAGTAATCATGACTCTCATTGAAGTCTTGTACTCCTGTAGTTTCCCAGGACTTTATATAATCAGAACAATGTCATCCTAAAGAGAAAGAAGCACCTGGAGAACTTTACCATTTTTAGGAAACCTTCTTTCTTGTGGATCTTGTGTTAGACAAGCTCTATGAGCCATGAGCCAAATACTTTTGGCTAGTATATGTCTTCTTGTCTTCTATCTTGTTCAAGGTTAATAATCAGAAGGTCAATGCCAAACTCATCCCAGTTTTTACATTTTTTAAGAAATCTTACATGCTCTTGAAGCAGTTCAAACCAAAACAGAATCTATGTTATTTCCAAAACAATTCAATCAGAAGAAAACCAGAAGATCAAAATATTCTCTGAATCAAATTGAATCTCAGGTTCTCAAGTGAAAAATGATGGCTTTGGGGCAACTAGGTGGCACAGTGGATAGAACACTGGCCCTGGATTCAGGAAGACCTGAGTTCAAATCTGGCCTCAGACACATAACACTTACTAGCTATGTGACCCTAGGTAAGTCACTGAAACCCCATTGCCTGGCCAAAAACAAAAAAACAAAACAAAATGAAATGAAAATGATGGCTTTGGGAAAAATGATAGATAAAGTCCTTTCCGGTGCTAAAATTCCATGATTTTATGAAATTTTATTTGCTCTAGTTCCTCATATATCTAGTGTTTAATATTGCAATAGCAATTACAGTACACATTGCCATCAAGTGTTGTTGACTTACATATGACGTGACTATCTCCTGGAAAATTTCTTAAACTCAAGGTTTTAGATCGGGGATTTTAAATCCAGAGTCCATACAATTGTATTTCAAAAATCTTTTGATAGTATATTTCAATAGACTTGGTTTCCTTTATAATCCTACATATTTTAAGCATGCATAAACATGATTCTGGTCTCATCAGATTCCCAACAGGGTTCATGACACGAACAAGGCTAAGAACTCCTGCTTTATGGGGCAGCTAGGTGGCACAGTGGATAGAGCACCAGCCCTGGATTCAGGAGGACCTGAGTTCAAATTTGACCTCAGCTGTGTGACCCTGGGCAAGTCACTTAACCCCATTGCCTAACCAAAAAAAAGAAAAAAAAGAAAAAAAGAAAAGAAAAGAAAATAACACCTGCTTTAGATTAGAAAGAAAGAAAGAAAGAAAGAAAGAAAGAAAGAAAGAAAGAAAGAAAGAAAGAAAGAAAGAAACCAGTACCTTAATTAGCCATTTCTCAAAACAGTAAGTTACACATTAAAGTCATTTAATGACAATAAAGAGTACAAGAACCTGAAGGCTGTTTAACTATGCACCTATTTCCATTAGTTGACTATTTAGAAATGGAATGTTAGTTTGGGCATCTCAGCTTACCCAGAAGCTCTGTCAAGACACACAATAACATTGAATTTACTGGGCATTTGTTTAACAATTGCAAGAGTTGATTGTAAAGAGTGGCTGAACTTTGATTTTATTTTATTTAGCTGGGTAAAGTTTTAGATTACCCAGGAAACACCTACCTTACAAATTCTCTTAGGGGGTCGTATTCACAAAGGTAGAGAATTTCTTTTGTTTCACAGTGAAACACGTTCCTAATCTCTTCCAGGATTTTGATGACCATAGCTGTTTTCCGGGTTCCTGGCAAGCAAAGGATAAATAACTCCCTGGTTTCCTGGAGGCTTTGTGAGAGCAGCTTAGATTGGTCAGCTATGAGCAGATTCAAAAATTGGCACCCAAGCTGGTCGCTTAAAACAGAGGTAAAACAGAGCAAGACTATTACAAGTGATTGCAACAAGTCTTCTAATTCGTATTCTGTGGCAAGAATGTAGGTATGGGGGTACTGTGCTTGGATGATCCCACACTGAGGGCCAGGCAGGTGCAAAAGCTGGGGAATAACACACACTTTCCCAGTGTAACACCCCACACTGGCAAGTTTCTGCTTTAGCTGGAGAGCAGTAAGTCTGGAATATTCAAGCCCATTCATCTTATCAGGTCTCTTGACAATGGTATAAAGTGTTGGGGGACTGTTAACTGCGATAAGGAGAGCATCACATAGCACTCTATCATCCTTCGTTAAGCCAATGTCCAAAGCCCAGCTCCTTGAAAATATCAGGATCCCCTGAGAAAAGCAATGGGTCTTCTTCTTCATTAGCTCCTCTAGTCCATCATGCTCCATGAACAGCTCCTTGCAGAGGGATTCTGGCTTGAATCCTATCTCCTGTGAGGTCACTGTAAATTCAAAGAATTGAAATAGGTTACAAAGCATTACAGTGCTCCAGAAGGAAAACATGCGTTTGAACTTGTTCTTTTCTTTTTTTTAAGTTGCAAGGTCATTTACTACGTTTAAACTCAATGCTTTACAGATTGAAGCATGCAGAATAAGCAATTGTTGGGTTAATAGCAATTCTACTTATTCTCCCTTCAGAATGTGTACAAAACACCATTCATTTACAGTTTATAACATCACTGAAATGGAATTCCTTTTAGCTACAAAACTACAGGATTATTTTGTGCACATAGAGAAAACACTGCTCATGGCAGAGTTCTTGGAGATGAAACTCTCCAAAATATAATAATGCTGTTCTCTCATCCCAAACCTTTGCAGTATAGAATCATATTTATATAGGTATGCCTTTTTGATGGGGAATAATCCACGTCTTTGACACTGTAAAGAGGCCAAGAGCTCTGAAGAAGCTATGAATCAGCTCCACAGAGTAAGAGGTTAGAGTGTCCCACTAGAGACTGGGGAATCCTTATTACTCTTCAAAATCAGAGAACAAAGTTAACACCATAAGGGAAGCCCAATCCTATACAGTGAAGGCAGATCATGTTGGGAGTTATTTGAATGAGACAGATTGGGACAATCAACAAGGTACAGCAGGAGTGATCAGAGGAAGCCCTGATTTTTGGCCCTGTAGAGGGAGGCATGTGCTCTGCCCAGCTTCTTCCTGAGGAATCTGTGCTTTGAGTCACATAAAGGACTCTTAGCGCCTCTAGACAAGAGATAAGCATATTGAGAACATTCTGCAAGAAGTCATAGGGTAGGGGTTCTTAATCTTGCTATGTGAACTTAAACAAGAATTTTGATAGCTGTATTTCAGCATAATTGATTTCCTTTGTAATCCTGTGCATTTTAGTTTATACACTTAAAAACATTTTTTCTGAGGAGGCAATAGGTTTTACCAGACTGCTAATGGGGTCCGTGGAACAACAACAACAACAACAAAAATGTTAAGAATTCCTCCTATACTATAAGAATCCCTATATACTGTATATTTTGGAAAAGGTGAAGTACATTCTTAATAGTATGAGGAGACAGACTAAACTTCATCTATTTCCTGTAGATTACCTGAACACGGAGACCCTTCTAAAATTCCTGGTAAGAAAGGAATTTCTGAAAGTATGGGGAAATTGATTACTAAGGCTTTCACAGAGGGTGAGAGGAAACTGTATAGAATTTTTTAAAAAATCAATGAAGGAGTATCTGGAACCCAATTATCAGGACTAACCTCGAAGAAAAACTATCTGAAGAGTAAGGAGCTGCTAGGATTGCTGACAGTCCTCCACGCTTCCCAGGTTATGATGCTGTGCCTGGATCTCCTGAACTGCAGTGTAATTGCAGGCCTAAGTTAGGAATCTTCTCAGAAAAGAACCCATGTCTCCGAAAGTCTACATCAGTCCTATGACTGAAGCACTACAGTATGAGTGAGCCCCTGAGTTTAAAGAGTAAGGCAGGGCAAGCTGCCTGCTAGAAAGCCTTTAAAGAATGGCTTTCATCATTTTGCAGAACCTTGAGACAACAAAACCTGAAATCACATGGCAAGGATGCTTGCAGTTGGCTTGTATCCAGGTTTCCATTCAATGCAAAGTAGAGAAGCACCCTGAGTTTGGTAACTCAGGTGGACAGTCACTTCTAAAGACTGAGATCGAGAGGACTGCTGATACGAAGCAGTAGAGATCAGGTTACAGCAAGTGTGTGGGATGTGTTCTGCCCCTGGGCGCTAAAGGTAGGTGTCCCTCAGCAAGGACTCAGGGCGCATGTCAGGCTACAAGGGAGGTGTCCCTGCCTGGCAAAGCAGTTCTCCTCCTGATCCCTGCTGTGAATGTTAAATTTTGTGTTTGCTTTTCTCCAGAGGAAAGGTTAGAACAAGCTGTTGTCTGTGCCTTCCCCCTTATCCTTAGGTAGAAACCAGACCCACCCCCCAAATGAAACCAAAAGTGGATACCTGAAAGCAAACTTTGCTGTAGGGTCCTCTTATGGAGGCGGGCTTGTTCTGAACAGGGTGATCTGCAGAGTGGATCAGTCGCTGACTGGTCATTGTCCTGAGCCAAGATGGGATGAGCTTCACAAATCAATGTAAAGTTATTTCAGAAATGTATCCTTTTTCATTCTTCCTTTCGCCTTTGGAAAACCTACTCCTGTTACATTCTGAGCTCCTCTTGACATTGTATCAGCCCTCCCCTTCCTTTATCCTCCCTCCAAGCTGCCAGGAAATTTGGGACCTCTCACCGGGTTGTAGAGGTGTGGCACAGAGAAAAAATGCTGGATGCAGAGACAAAGGAGCTGAGTTCAGATTTTGCCTCCGCCTCTTCTACCTGAGGGACTTTAGGCAAGTCATTTATACTCTTGTCACACTCAAGAGGGCCTTGCTTTGTTTTTCGAGGCTTCAGAAGGAAGGTCTAACAGTAGATTTGGGGAAGCAGAGTTTGGTACTGTGGAGGGACAGACTTCCTAACAACTAGGGCAGATCAAGAGTAGAATGGAATTCACTCAGAGGTAGTGAGTTCTCCATAACTGGGACTCTGAAAGGTTGACCATTTATTGACTATACTGTGGAAGAGATTTCTATTCAGGTAGGGTCTGGCCAGACAGCCTCTGAGGCCAGATAGCCTCTTCCAGCTCTGGGACTTAAGTTTTCTAAGCTCAATCACACTAAACTATAAAAGGTGAGTAAGGATTAATATAGTAACCCCTCCCTGAGATGTTTGCATGTTACTCTAACTTCCTGGTAATACTTATCACATATTACCTTAGGTTATGATTTTATTGGTGTCTTATCTACCACTCCATCCACTCTAAAATTATCAATTCTTGAAGAGAAGGAATTGTAATCTTACTGGAGCTTGTATCTCTCATATAACCTAAGGGCATTTTACTTAATGACACAGTAGGCACTCATTATTTATTGAGCTCAACTAAACAGGAGCAAAAAATGTAGGCCAAAGTTTGGTTCTACAGCTGTGGAATTTATAGCATCAATAAGCAGAAGGAAGCAGTGTCTTTTATGGGCAGGGTATATTTGCCACAACCTCTGAAAGCATACCATATGAGTAGTTGTCCACTCTTCCTGTACTAATATCTTTCCCTAATATTATCTCAAAATACTTTGTCCTTTTCCTCCTGTACTTAACATTTTCATTTTTATTCATTTCTCCTCATACAGGTCTTGTCTTCCCTACTCCTTCAAGGCAGAGATTATGGTTTCTATATCCTTGACTCACCCCACCCAGCTTCTTAACTCTGGGCATTGCTGATATTAAGGGCTTAGCAAATATTTGCTGAATGAATACATATTTATCACTGGACCACTGTTTTTGTATAACTTCAGGCAGCCCTGGTTTTGGTATGTTTATTTCAAGACATCTTGCAAAATTCTAAAAAATAATAGTAACTATAAGTATAGCTCATTTGAACTCAGATGGAATTAATTTTAGTTAATAGTGCTTTTGAGGGGGATCATGATGGTACAAAGGAGGACTATATGTCCTGAAATCTAACACACAATAATTGGATGTTGCAGCTCCAAAACAGACTGGGAATTGTAGTCTTTAAATTCCCAGGACATATCTACAGTAAGAAGACTTGCACCTGAAAGCAATAATGACTTCAACCGGGAGTGGGGGGTGGAGGTCGGGGTGGGGTGTTCCCCTTCAGAAATGAAAACTTAGACACAATTACTCTTATGACATAAACAGTTGCTTGTTTCCAAAGTTTATTTTCAGAATTAACGTTATAATGAGAAACTGCAATGGCTTAAAGCACCTACTCCTAAAAATCACTGACAATGTTTACGATTGGAAAAAGAGATAATAGTAAAAACAGAGCATGAAACATGGGCAGCCAGGGGATCTGCCTTCTTGCCATGATCCTAAGATATAAAGGAAGGTTTTCAGCACCTTGGGTACCTCTGCCACTAACTGTGTGTGAGCTTGGGCAAATTCGAGGACCAGGGTTCAAATTCCTGCTTTGCTGGTGGCAAAGTAGATACAGTGTAAGACCTGGGGTTAGGAAGACCTGAGTTCAAATTTAGCCTCAGATTCTTACTAGCTGTGTGACCCTGGGCAAGTCACTTACCCCTGTTTGCCGAAGTTTCCTCATCTGTCAAACGAGTTGGAAAAGGAAATGGCAAACCACTCTAGTATCTTTGCCAAGAAAACCCCAAATGGAGGTCATGACTCAAACTACTGAACAACAACAATCACCTGTGTGACCTTGGCTAAGTCACTTAACCTCAGTTTCATCATCTGCAAAATTAAGAGGTTGAACTAATTGGCCTCTATGATTAACCATTTTGTTAGTTTCTTACTTCTTCTTCCTTTCCTCCCTCCATAACAATACCAGCTTCTTAAGGGCAGGAATTGTAAACGTACTTAATTTTTAAAAATTTTTTAAGTTTTAATTTTTATCCCATATGGCACTTAAGGGCACTTACAGGGGACAAAGAGTTGTTGTTCAATCCTGTCTGACTCTCCATGACCCCATTTGGGGTTTTCTTTTTTTTTTTTCCATCCAAAGACAAGGTTTATTAGAACATCCATCATATTGGGCAGACTCTTAAGGAGTGTGAATATTAGTGGTCTAGTGGCTAGGATTTGGCGCTTTCACCGCCATGGTTTGATTTGCTGAGGTCTAGAGGTTTAGGGGTTGCTGGGACCCCAAGATCATGACACACAGGTTCTGTTCGAAAGAATTCAACCCAAGCCTTCTTTCAGCCAAAGACAAGGTTTACTAAAGATCTGCCATATTGCCAGACTCTTGAGGAATCTGAGAGTCTGTGAGGTATTAGCTAGATTCTAAGAATCTGAGATGTGGCTAGATTTTAAGAACCTAAGCCCATTTGGGGTTTTCTTGGCAAAGATACTGTAGTGATTTGCCATTCCTTCTCCATCTCATTTTGACAGATGAGGAAACTGAGGCAAAAATTGTTAGGTGACTTGCCCAGGGTCACACAGCGAGTAAGTGCCTAAGGTCAAATTTGGACTCAGGTCTTCCTGACTCCAGGCCTGGTACTCTATCCCCTGCACCACCTAGCTCTCCAAATGAAGAATAGGCACTCAATATTTTTTGAGCTGAACTGAAGGGAAGAAAAGACTTAGGTCATAGTCTGGTTCTATAACTGTGGAACTTCAAGCATCAGTCAGAAAAACGGAGAGGTAGCTTTTGGAAATACCCACATGGATGAGAACATTGAGTCATTTGAACACTGAAGCAATCCTAAAAAAGCATGAATGCAAAAGACATACATTTTGGTTGTAATTATATTTTTTTTCCTTAGAGGAAGCCAATGAGAATTGATTTTATGGAATTTACCCAAAATATTTTGTGGGAAAAGGAAGAATATTAATAAAAGATTTTGCCTGAAGAGAAGGGACATCAACTTGTAAAATAGGTTTATTTTTTTTAAAGAAAATTACCACCTTTCCCCAAATTTATTGCTAATGAGTTTCATTCATTCCTTCATTTATTCATCAGACAACTTTTTGATAAATATCTTCTTGGTAGTCACTAGGGGAGATAAAAATAAGACAATGCCTAAGCCTTCTTAGAGCTCTCAGTATAGTTGGAGGGGAAGAGATAGGACACATACACAAATATGCAATGTAATATAATATCCCAATTGTCATAATGACTGAGAAGTACAATGTCCTGCTGAGTTGGAGGTGGGAGGAGAGGGAAGACTACCTGAAAGAGCTGGTGACTGTGCTGGATCTTGGAGGATGAAGAGGATTTCAAAAAGCAGAGATGAGGGGAGAGTCATTCCCAGGAATGAGAACAATATGAGCTAGGTCAAGAAAGCACCGGACACGCATAACGGATAGCTTGCTTGAAGTGTAATGTATCTGAATGGGAATATGAGATAAGGCTGGACAGGTAAGAAAAATGTCAGGATAAGGAGTTGGGACTTTTCTTCCACAGGCACAAGAATGCTATTGAAGGGTTTTCAGGAGAGGAATGGATACAGAATGAAAATTAATCTGGAAGTGGTATGAAGAATAGATTAGAGAGATGGAGATGCTGGAGACAGGGAACTCTGTTAGGAGGCTGTGCAATAGAATCAAAAGATCAGAGGATCAAAGCTTCAGAGCTAGAAGGAACCTCAGGGACTATCTAATTCAACCTCTTCATTTTATAGATGAGGAAACTGAGGCCAAATGATGTTGAATGACTTGCCCAAGATCACACAGGTACTAAGGAGAAAAGTTGGGATGTGAACCCTGGTCCTCTGGCTCCAAAGTGATGTTCTTTCCCCTCAATACCCCGGGCCAGTGATAATGAGACCCAGTGTCAGACCGATACCACTAAAGATAAAAAGAAAGGAAGAGAGATGCCAGAACCCGCCTCGGCGGTCCCAGTATTATTCAGATAGCTATTTCTGCTGGTCCAGAAAGATCCAAACTCTGAATGTAGGCCTACAGGTCGACAAACAAGGAGCTAGAAACCGAACTCTGACCCAAATGCCCACAGTGGAATACTAGGAATTAGGCTTCTTCTGGCAGGGACTGGACAAGGACTTCAGTTTTTTTTCCTCCCCGTTTACCTGGTTGAATATGCATTAACATGGACACCCATTCCTCAGCTTTCAGTTTTTCAACAAAGTTATCTCTCATGATCCAGGAATCTGGGGCTTCTGCAAAGACAACACAGCAGAGGGGCTCTACTTTGACCACGCAGACATAACCATATAGGCTGTTACTATTATACACGTTTATGATTTTAGTTGTGAAATCGATGTGTGGCTTCACAGAGCAAAAATGGAAGACAGGCAGTTTTCTTATGCAACATTTTATCTCCTTTTCTAGTATGACAGGGTCTACCTTGTCTCTTTTGCAGCCAAATACTTCATTGGTCTTATTGTCCACTCCAATAATTAAGTATCCCCCTTTGGTATTTGCAAATGCAGAAACATAACGGGGCAGCATCTCTTTTATCCTAGGCACAATCTTCTTGGTTGTGAATCTTTTCAATTCAACATGAGTTGACTCAGTAAAGTTGAGTTTCTCCTTGTATGAAAGCTGGTCCTTTTTAAAAAATTCTGAGGCAAACAACCTTATGTCTTCCTCTTCCTGAACTTTGCTCACAAGAACTTTCTTGGGATGCCTCTCTGGGAGATTTTCCCTTCCTCTTTGGATTTTTGATTGTTTCTCCTTTAGAAGTTCTAATGCTCTACTGGCAGTCAGGTTGACAGTGCAAGTTACATCTCTTTGGAATATATTTGAGGACAAACTACAGATTCGTAGTTGGGGGCCAGCAGTCTTCACAATCCAGGGTTTCACAAAAATGAAAAAATTGTGGTCTTGTTGCATGTAGTCAAGGAACTCCTGTGGAGCCAAAGGTAGAAGCTTCTGAAAGGACGTTTCCAAATCTTGACCAAATCCATCACATTGGTAATTGTAGCTTCTGTTATCAATCTCAGCTTTGATGATTCCCCCGCCTGAATTTAACAGTGCACATATGGCTTGGATGATTTTAGAATTCTGTGTCCTTTTCAAATGATTGTTGGTCATGTTCTTCCTATACTCCTCCCCAAAAGTGATGCTTCCCACTTCTATAACCACCTCAGCATAATGTGTTTCCTTGTCAACCTGGAGTCTCTCCATCTTAGCAGCTGTCCTGTTCCCTAATATCACAGAAACGGTCTCCTGTAAAACAGTTTGGACAAATAGGACAGAGAGGTTGTGACTACACCAAGCAAAATGCCAAATAAGATTGCTTCTAATGCCATGCCAACACTGTAATCATTCACGAGGCCTGGCTAGAAAGCAACATTCACCAATGACTTTGCCAACATCCTTTACTTTGTCAGAGTGAACATCACAATAATGTTGCTGAGATTCCTAGCTATCCCTACATCCTATGCAAATGAGCCAACAGAGGACATAGGAAAAAGTGAAAAACAACTTAAGGAGGGAGTCAGGTAGCTTAGCAGATAAACCATAAGTTAGGGTAGACTGAAAGAAGAAAAAAAATCAAATGAATCAGTTAGAAGACGCTCTTGCTAAGAAAAATGAAGGGAGAAAGGCATAGGGAATCAAAGTGAATCGTAGGCTAGAGTTTTACCCTTAAAATAAGGGGAAATGGAAATTTTTGAGAATTCTTTCTATAGTTCTTAAGTTCTGTAAGCTTTCCTTTACTATTTGTTATTTCCTGTGAAATAATCTCATTTGAAAACTCATTGAGTTCTCTCCTTTTCCTCAAGGACAAAGGCATTTCCTCACACCAAGAATGGAATCATAACCCCCTGTCCCTTTGATGGGCAGTGAAAGATCTGATATAGGAAGGAATAATAAGAATTAGGTACATACTAGGCCTTGTACTTGAGTGGGGCTCCAGAGGGAGCACATGGTCCACAGAAAGTGGCCAGAGTCTATGGCCAGCACTGTGATCCAACAGATAGGGGCTTCCCCCTGATGACCTTAATCACAAAGGACTTGAGAGGGGATTAGTTAAAAGTGACACCCTTCTGTTCCTTTCTTTGACGGGTGAAGACTGTTCTCTGATTGCCTGTCCAAAGAGAAATGGCAAATTTAACTTAGGTCCCCTAGACACATTTTCCAGAAAGTGAACCCATTTCCCTTCCTTAATACAAATTAAGCCCTGGAAAGAAAAGAGATCCTCTCCTTTCCTAGGCCACCTTCCGCTGTAGGTAGGGGCCATGTGAATAGTCTGAAAGTCTATGAGAAGAAAAAAAGGGCAGAGAGAAACTGTATTTCTCTTCCTCTGACTCTAGATTGCTTTCTAACCTCTTTTCCACTTTACCTGATTAAGCCAACTTGAACTTCAGCAAATAAGAAAGTGATCTAAGCTAAGATCATTTTGCTGAAGTGAATGTTATAATATAATATAATGTATTATAATAGATAATATAATATAATAGTGGTATTTTATATAACTCCAGAAGTTTCTGCTAAAGAGTCTGCACATATCAGATTTTGAACGAGCTAGAGTTTTAGCCTTAGGGCTCTGAAATTGATGGTAATTAAATCTAGGGCAGGAGTTCTTACCCTGGAATTTCTGAAAAAAAAATTTAGTATTTTGATTATCTGTATTTCAAAAAGGCGGTCCCAAAAATCTCAGTGGAGTCTTTAACTTTGATGGTTTTGAAACGCCTGACATAATTGCTTTCTTTGATAATCTTATTTATTTTATTAATTTAAAACATTATTCTGAGAAGGGGTCCATAGGTTTCACCCATCTGTAAAAGGCATTCATGACACAGTAAAGATTAAGGTTAACTTCTGATCTAGGGGATCAGAATGAAGTTCTCAGATCATGGAAATATCCTCACATTTCTTAGTTTTTACTCTTCCTTCCCTTTGCAACTTTTCCGGCCATAGCCATAAACCACAAAATAGGACGAAATTATTGTTACCTGCTGTTTCTTTTTGGAAGTTTCATGTCGAAGTCTCGCCTGAGTCTCAGTGGTTGTCATCTGGCATAACCCTGCTGCCCTCTGATACCAGACAGGCAGGAGATGACACTGCTCTGACAGTCTTCATAACATGGACAGGCTGAGGCAGACTGATAAAGACTCAAGAGAACCATGTGGGAAAAGGATTAGTAAGGCAGGGATCTGACCCCAAAGATAGAGAATGAGGCAAAAATGAGGAAAATACAGGGGTTTTCAAGAGAGCAGCCTAGACTAAACTTACTACCTATAAAGGACTGAGAGCTCTGACTATATACAAATACTTCCCACTCTTTTAAATTTAACTTGCATGGACTTATACGCATCACATATTCCTTTGTATTCTGCATGAGCATTTTGACAGATCTAAAATTATTTTGCTATCTTCAAAATAGTCTTCCTTTTTTATTCTGTTTCATTTTTCTTTGCTCCTTCCCATATTGTCTTTTTCTCAGACATGAAGCTCAGCCTTCAAAAATATATACCTACAAAAGCTAATCCGCAGTTGGTTTTGAAAATTATCTCTTCTTAATTGGGAAGTTTGTCCCAAATGGAACAAGTGACAGCCAAACTCTGCTGATAAGTCAGGTAGTAACTTAAGAGAATGTCCTTGACATTAGAAAATAGTGGAGTTTTGACATGAACAAAGCCCGAGTTTTCAGCAGGAACAGCAAGATGGTTGAATTTTTTGAGTTCAGTACTGCATTCCTAAAACCTTTTTGCTATACAAGTAGGTCTATTTGCTTGGTTGTACATTTCACAAATATTTGGTGGAATTTCCAGGTTGGCATGGATTATATAATGGTGAGTAGCACCAAAGCAAAACAACTGAATGACCAGTTACTGGCTTTGGATTAATTTTAGTCTTTTAGCAGCATCGTTCTTGCACTCAAACTACCTTGTTTATTTTCCAAAATTGGGCGAGTCTATATTTAAAGAAACCAGAAATTTGTAGAAATACAAAAGTATGTACGTGGGATACTTTCCACGTACTAGTATATGTCTGTAGCCGACTCTTTGAAGCCTTTTATGTGAAATGCTTTCAGTACTCATCATTTGACAGTGGTGCTGTGAATGATATGGAAATGACAGACTTTTAATTGTTTTCCATTGATTTCGTCTACCATTTTAGCATAGGAAGAAATGATGGTTTTGAAAGAGTGAAAATATAACTGTTGTATAATAAATGTGGGGTTAGGGTTATATTTTTAATTTCAGTTTATGTGACTGCTTTATTCAAAATCAGAAATCTATGTGAATACTACCCCTTCTTATTCTCAGACAATGGCAACTGTATCCTGAGAAATAGTAACCACTAGATTTTTCTCTCCTTTGCCCTAGCAGGGATTTAAAAAAAGGGCAAGGCAGACGGTAGCGGAGCCATAATTAGGAGGTTTTGCAATTGGGACAAGCACCATAAATCATGTTTGGGACAAGGAGATCCACTCAGTTACGGATTGGGGGTAGGTTTGACCTTCCTCTTTGGGGAGAAAGGTGGATACTACCAAGCTGCTCCCAAGGGAATTGTTCTATCATCTCCAGCCATCAGACCATTTGGTAACCACCAATTTTAACTAATTATTCTTGAAAAGTAGGTGCTATGGTAATTGTTTCTACAAGTTGGCATCTAAGAAGCATGATTATTGGGTGGGGATGGAGTTGTGGGTGAGGTGGGGGGGGTAGAATACGGGAGTGATAATCCTTACAGAAAATACATGCTCTTGGGCGGGGGCTGAAAGGGGCTTTAAAAGCAAGCACTTGAAAAACTCCTGTTATCCTAAAGTATCGTGATAGACATGGAAAGGTTTTTAAAGACCACTGTGTCCAACTTCTCTATTTTACAGAGAAGACAGAGTCCTAGTGTTATTTATCTCCAACTTGGCTTGCAGATATATTAGGTGAGGGAATGAGCATTTATCAAGCATCTACTGTATTCCAGGCACTATGCTAAGAACTTTTTACATCTCATTTGATCCTCACAACACCCCTATAAGGTAGGTGCTATCACTAGCCCTATTTTACAGTTGACCAAACTGAGGTAAATGGGGTAAAGTGACTTGCCCAGAGTCACACAGCTAGTGTCTGAGACCAGATTTGAACTCAGGTCTTCCTGACTCCAGGCCCTGCACTCTATCCAATTCACCACCTCGCTGCAGGAAGACCTGAGTTCAAATCTGGTCTCAGACACTAGCTGTGTGACCCTAGGCAAATCATTAAACCCTGTTTGCCTCAGTTTCCTCATCTGTAAAATATGCTGGAGAAGGAAATGGCCAACCACTTCAGTATTTCTGCCAAGAAAACTCCAATAAGGTCACAGAGCATCAGATATGACTGATTCTAGGTCCAGTGGTTTGTCTACTTTACTTGCTGCAAACACAGTTGTTTGCATAAGTCCCTAGAGATCTGGGACTGTCTTATCGCACTGCCTGGCACACAGTAGGTGCTTAATCAATGCTCGTTGACTTTGCAGAGAAGGGACTAGAACCCAAGTCCCCTGACTCTGCATTCAGCACGCTGTCGGCTAAACTGTTGAAATTTGGCCTCCATGGTCGTTGATCAAGTTTAAAATAATAAAAAAATAAAAATGTTTAAAGGGGGCGTGGCCTGGAGACAGCTTTCGGTGCTCCCTTTTAGGCCCGCCCCCCAGCCCCACCTCTTGGGGTCTAGCCTCTGCAAACCACTTTACAATCAGCCAGAAACACTAGGATGGGCTACGGAAGCCGGACCAAGCCAAGAAGATTGAAGACCAAGAGGAGCGGGAGGAGAAACTGCAGCGTGGTAGGCGGGACCAACGCCTCACGTGACACACATGCCAGGTCCTGATTGGCTATCCCGCCGGAAACGCCCCGCCGGCGCCGTGTCGGCGCAGTCTCGAGGAGCTCCGGGCGACCCGTGAGGAGTTGGGGGTGAGTTGAAAGCCGCCCTCGCGTGGGGGCGGTTGCTGCCTGCTTTTCTTGTGCTCTTATCTCAGCCTCCCTCCCTCCCCCCCTCTCCGGGGCTCACGTGGCCGAGTCTCGCGTGCCCGCCTGCAGAGAGTGGGTCAGTTGCAGAGACTGCGCGCCTGGCGCTTCTTTTCTCCCCGGGTTCACGTGAAGCCACCTCCATCTCCCCGGTATGGGGGCCTCCTTCCTCGCCCCTCCTCGCCCCCAACCAAGCCTTGAGAGCACGGAGCTTAGGGACGGAAGACGCCTGGTTGTCCACTTTACGGGAGGAGAAACTGAGTCGCCCCCGGGCTTCCGACTCGGGCGCCCGGACTCCCCGTCCGGCAGTCGGCCCCCGCTCAAGGGCTTCAGAAACGTGTGTCACGGAGAGATTCCAGGGGGTGCGTGAACGTGGGTGGGGAGGAGAGGACGTCCGAATCTGCGTGTAATTGGTTTTCTTTGTAGTCTCGTGCATCTTATCTCGCTCATTTAGAGACGTCCTGAGAAAGGATCCACGACCCAGAAAGGGTGACGAGCCAGTGCCCTACACCTTTGCTGATGCCTTAATCGAGCGTCTATTAAAATAACTGGGTACAGTGAGAAACTTTACGGCTGGAAGACCTCAATCACCCAATAAGCGTTTATTAAACACCTGTGGGTAGAGGGGGAAACTGAGTCAGGAAGACCCGAGTTTGCATCCTGCCTCAGAGACTTGTTAGCAGAATGACGCTGGAGGAGTTACTCCTCTCAGCCTCAGTTTCCTCACCTGTAAAATGGCACTTACTTTACTGGGTGAGGTGAGATTCAAATGAGATAACTTGTGAAGTGTTTTGCAAACCCTAAAGCACTGTGTAAATGCAAGCTATTGTTATAGCGACATTTTTTTATATCATCTTTTTCTGACCTGTAATTTAATGATGTAAGAGAGCTTCGGGTAAGGAGTTTTCTTTGTCAGCACAGATGGGCCTCTTCTCTGACTTAACAGGCCTCCTCAGGACACTGACTTGAGTGACTTGCCCAGGGTTTCTCAGCCAGTGTGTATCAAAGTGGATTTGAACAGAGGTCTTACTGATTCTGAAGCTGTCTCTACTGCACTGAGCTGCCTCAACATCCTATGACCTTAGGATCCAATTTACAAAGTGAGCCGGGTCCTACCCACCCCACTAAGGGGGGGGGGTGTGCCACCGTCCTCTCAGGCTTACAACCTGGAGTGTCATCCTTAACCCCCCCTCTGCCACTCCATATCCAGCCAGTCCCAAGTCCTGTCATTTCTACCTTCATAAGATCTCACACATTCTCCCATCTTCTGATACTGCCACTTCTCTAGAGCAGGCCCTCATCACCTCATGCCTGGACTGTTGGAATAGCCTTCTGCCTGCTTCACATCTCTCCACTCCAGTCGGTCCTCCACTCAGCTGTGAAAATAACTTTCCTTAAGTGCAAGTCTGACCACGTCACTATCCCTATTCAGTAAACTCTGTATCACCTCCCCCATCAAATATAAAATCCTCTGGCTTTTAGAGCCCTGTATAACCTGCCCCTTTCCTTCCTTTCCAGTTTTTCTACACCCCCACTCTCTACCCTCCCCTCACCTCACCATGGACACTCTGCTCCCTTCCCCCATTCTTTGTCATCCAGTGAGGCTGGCCGCTTTGCTATTCTTTGCACAAGACTCTGCATCTCACAGCTTCGGCATTTTCACCAGCTGTTCTCCTCCTCCCCCCCCCCCCCCGGAAATGCTCTTGCTCTCCTCTTGCGTCTCTGGCTCCCTTGAGGTCTCAGCTAGAGTATCACCTTCTGCAAGAAGCCTTTCCTGATTCTCCTTAATGCTAGTGCAACCCCTCTGTTGGTTATTTCATATTTATCCTATACATAGCTTGTTTGTACGTGGTGGTTTGCCCCTTGTCTCCCCTGTTAGACTGTGAGCTCCTTGAGGACAGGGACTATCTCTTGCCTTTGTATCCCCAGCACTTACTACTAAAGTGCTGGGCAAATAGTAGGGCTTAATGAATCCTAGTTGATTTGACATTACTATACATTCCTCTTGTCTCCCTCTACATTTTCTTGGTTATTTGATGGGATTTCCAGGGATTCAGTTACAGTCTCTGCAGATGACTCCCACATCTGTCAGTCTGTCTAGGTCTGCTCTCGGTCCGGAATTCTAGTCCTGTGTAGCCTGCTGGATGCAGTCAGTACCTCCAGCTCCAGCTTCAGTTCCTGTGCTTTGGCATAGCCAGGCTCCCATTTCTGGAACACACTCCGTCTTCATTTCACCCTCTTCTCCCAGAGACCTTTTCTACTCTTAGTTGTTAATGCTGTCTCCTTTATTTATTTAACTAATGGCTATTTTATTCTCCAGTAGAAAGAATATAAGCCCCTTGAGGGCAAGAACTGT